ATCTCAATAGATGCAGAAAAAGCTTTTGACAAAATTCAACACCCATTTATGATAAAAACTCCCCAGAAAGTGGGCAGAGAGGCAACCTACCTCAACATAATAAAGGCCATATATGACAAACCCACAGCAAACATCATTCTCAATGGTGAAAAACTGAAAGCATTTCCTTTAAGACAGGAACAAGACAAGGATGTCCACTCTCACCACTATTATTCAACACAGTTTTGGAAGTCCTAGCCACGGCAATCAGAGAAGAAAAAGAAATAAAAGGAATACAAACTGGAAAAGAAGAATTAAAACTGTCACTGTCTGCAGATGACATGATACTATAGAGAATCCTAAAAATGCTACCAGAAAACTACTAGAGCTAATCAATGAATTTGGTAAAGTTGCAGGATACAAAATTAATGCACAGAAATCTCTTGCATTCCTATACGCTAATGATGAAAAATGTGAAATAGAAATTAAGGAAACACTCCCATTTGCCATTGCAACAAAAAGAATAAAATACCTAGGAATAAACCTACCGAGGGAGACAAAAGACCTGTATGCAGAAAACTATTAGACACTGATGAAAGAAATTAAAGATGATACCAACAGATGGAGAGAGATATACTTACCATGTTCTTGGATTGGAAGAATCAATACTGTGAAAATGACTACAGTACTCAAAGCAATCTACAGATTCAATGCAATCCCTATCAAATTACCAATGGCATTTTTTACAGAACTAGAACAAAAATTCTTGAAATCTGTATGGAGACACAGAAGACCCTGAATAGCCAAAGCAGTCTTGAGGGGAAAAAAACGGAGCTGGAGGAATCAGACTCCTTGCTTCAGACTATACTACAAAGCTACAGTAATCAAGACAATATGGTACTGGCACAAAAACAGAAACATAGATCAATGGAACAAGGGAGAAAGCCCAGAGATAAACCCACACACCTATGGTAAACTAATCTATGACAAAGGAGGCAAGGATATACAATGGAGAAAAGACAGTCTCTTCAATAAGTGGTGCTGGGAAAACTGGACAGCTACATGTAAAACAATGAAATTAGAACACTCCCTAACACCATACACAAAAATAAACTCAAAATGGATTCGAGACCTAAATGTAAGACCGGACATTATAAAACTCTTAAGAGGGAAACACAGGAAGAACACTCTTTGACATAAATCAGAGCAAGATCTTTTTTGATTCACCTCCTAGAGTAATGGAAATAAAATCAAAAATAAACAAATGGGACCTAAAGAAACTTAAAAGCTTTTGTACAGCAAAGGAAACCATAAACAAGACGAGAAGACACCCCTCAGAATGGGAGAAAATATTTGCAAACGAATCAACGGACAAAGGATTAATCTCCAAAATATATAAACAGCTCAATTAGCTCAATATTAAGGAAACAAACAACCCAATCCAAAAATGGGCAGAAATAGACATTTCTCCAAAGAAGACATACAAATGGCCAAGAAGCACATGAAAAGCTGCTCAACATCACTAATTATTACAGAAATGCAAATCAAAACTACAATGAGGTATCACCTCACACCAGTTAGAATGGGCATCATCAGAAAATCTACAAACAAGAAATGCTGGAGAGGGTGTGGAGAAAAGGGAACCCTCTTGCAATGTTGGTGGGCATGTAAATTGATACAGCCACTATGGAGAACAGTATGGAGGTTCCTTAAAAAACTAAAAATAGAATTACCATATGATCCAGCAATCCCACTACTGGGCATATACCCAGAGAAAACTATAATTCAAAAAGTCACATGCACCTCAATGTTCACTGCAGCACTACTGACAATAGCCAGGTCATGGAAGCAACCTAAATGCCCATCGACAGACGCATGGATAAAGAGGTTGTGGTACATATATACAATGGAGTATTACTCAGCCATAAAAAGGAACCAAACTGAGTCATTTGTGGAGACGTGGATGGATCTAGAGACTGTCATACAGAGTAAAGTAAGTCAGAAAAGAAAAACTTATATCGTATATTAATGCACATATGTGGAATCTAGAAAAATGGTACAGATGAACCGGTTTGCAGGGCAAAACGTATGGACACCAAGGGGGGAAAGGTGTTGGGGGGTGGGGATGGTAGTGTGCTGAATTGGGCTATTGGGATTGACATGTATACACTGATGTGTATAAAATTGATGACTAATAAGAACCTGCTGTATAAAAAAATAAATTTAATTAAATTAGAAATTTAAAAAAAACAAAACGAAAGATCTCAGATTAAATAAAGAGGAGTTCAGGGAACAATATTCTGAAGGAAGGATGGCCAATAATACTAAACGAAATTTTTGATTGCCAAGGGATACACAGGATGTTCCCATATAACACAAATCCAGACTTAGCTTTCAGTTCCTATTCATCTTTCTCTCAAAGTTGGTTAACTAATTATCACAAGGAAAGGTTATCACAGCAGCTATAAATAAAATGTGTAACTATAATATAAAGAACTGTCTTCCCTTATAGCTGGTGAAATTAGTTTTACTACTTTACAGTCAGTGTCATTTGTATATGTGTGTACACAGTGGTCACATACATGGTATATATGAACAGATTCTTTTTTTTTAACTTTTATTTTATATTGGAGTATAGTTGATTTACAATGTTGTGCTAGTTTCAGTAGTACAGCAAAGTGATTTAGTTATACATATACATGTATCTATTCTTTTGCAGATTCTTTTCCCATAAAGGTTATTACAGAGTATTGAGTAGAGTTCCCTATGCTATATACAGTAGGTTCTTGTTGATTATTTTATATCTAGTAGTGTGTATATGTTAATCCCAACCTCCTAATTTATCCCTCCCCTCCATCTCTTTCCCCTTTGGTAACTGTAAGTTTGTTTTCTAAATCTGTGAGCCTGTTTCTGATTTGTAAATAAGTTCATTTGTATCAGTTTTTAGATTCCACATGTAAGTGATATTATATGATATTTTTCTTTCTCTGTCTGACTTACTTCACCTTGTATGATAATCTCTAGGTCCATCCATGTTGCTGCAAAAGGCATTATTTCATTCTTTTTTATGGCTGAGTATATTCTTTTTTTAAATTATCATGTAACATTATATTAGTTTAAGGTGGACATCATAATGATTTGATATATGTATGTATTGGAAAATGATCACCTCAATAAATTTAGTTAACATCCATTACGTCACATAGTTTCAAAGGTTTTTTTCTTGTGATAAGAACCTTTAAGACCAATCTCTTAACAGCTTACAAATGTAAAACACAATATTATTAAATCTAATCACCTTACTGTACATTACATTCCCCAGAAGTTATTCATCTTATAATTGGAAGTTTGGACCATTTGACCACCTTCATCTCTGGCAACTACCATTCTGCAGAACAGATTCCTCTGATGGAAGAAGAAAGCAACCTTGGTACCCTAAAGAGGTCCACAAATGTCATACCAGGACCCAGGTTTTAACAAGATCATTCTGTTTTCCTTATTCTATTGCCCATCCTATAGCTAAAGGCAGAATTACCAAAAAAAAAAAAAAAAAAAAAAAAAAGGGGGGGGACACTATCTGGAAATGTCTCCAGAGTGATTATTCATTAAGTCTTACATCATTCCTATGAGGTAACTAGGGAATTAGCCTCATTTATTGGGTAGAAACCTGAACCAGAAAAAAAGTGAGCTGCTTGTACATTTTCCCTTAAGATACCTCTGCCAGGACTCAGTGTCATGAAATTGCTCTGAGGTGAAAACACAAGGTGTAGAAACCCAAAGAATCTACAGAAACAAAGACACAACCCCAGAAGAGAAGGACAGCCCAAGACACTTGGCCCTCCTCAACCCAGTAACAGCAGCAGCCGGCACTCACTGAGCATCTGCCATCCACCTGATGTTTACCCACAGTCAATCACTGACTCCTCATCACAATGCTGCAAGGTAGGTATTACTACTGTTTTGCAAATGAGAATGTTGAAGAAGAAAGGTTAAATAATTTGGCCACAGTAACAGGGCTATTAAGTAGGGGCAATACGATTCACAACCAGGACTAATTGGTCCCCCAAAGTCTAGCTCTTCCCAGAAATTCTCCACCATGTCTCCCATGTAACTGGCTATCTCTTAACACCTAATAACAGACCTGCATTACACTTGGTGCTTTACACACATGACACTATCACAAATAACTACTCTGAAAGCTATGCCCATTTTATAGATTAGATTTATTCATTCTAAAGTGAAATTTAGAAAGGTTGATACGCCTTCCCATGGCCACAAAAAACAGTGAGTGGCAGCATGGATATTTAATCCAGGTCTCTCAGGCTTTTCAGTCCATGTCTTTTCCATTTTTCATGCTGCTTCCAAAAGTTCTTTCTTTATTTTCTAGTTATTTCACACATACTAGAGACTCTATTATTGGTGATAACTATCACCTCTTCCATTTAAGGGAAGATTGTGATAGACCTATGAAACAGTGGTATTATCCTCATTTTACAGAGGCTTGGAGAGCTTAGGGAACTGGATCAAGGTATAGAACCACAGATGGCACAGCCAGAACTTAAGCCCAGTCTACAGACACCCAAGCGTGTATTGATAACCAGTCAACTGTGCTGCCTCCTGGACACTGCTACCTCCATGAACGGTGGAACAGAAACTTCCAAACAAAAATCATTCAGCCAAACCTTAACCTGTTTACATAATAATCTTTTCCAAAGAATCTAAACTAAACAAACAAACAAAAACAACAATTCTCAACATGAGTAAGAAACTAATTGTGGTATGGAAAATAAAAATAGTGCTATACAGAATTACTAAAAACAGGAAAGTAAAAAAGAAATCAATGAGGTAATAAATTAGATTTTGAGGAATAGTCAAAAGGACTGAAATCAGATGCTTGAGTTTATTTTGGTATTCCTGATCAAACAACAGAAAGTAGTTTCTTAATTTCCAATTACTGTATTTTTCTGATTCAGAAACACTCAAAGATTTACTCATGATGTTCCAGGAAGTTCAGAACTTACCACACATTATCCCTAAGGCTGTGCTAAATACCGCCATATATCCAAAGTAAAATGATGTCTGAAATAAGCCATACATCCTGAAATAAAACCAAAAAATTATATATAGTATATCCATTTTTACTTTAGACATAAGGCCTAAATTCTAGTATTTAAATGACAAACTTAGCTTCTAAAATACAAAATGAAAAAATGTCTCCACTTACTTTGTTTTGAAAAAATAGTAGTAAAAGGAATACATGTAAACATAAATTGCAGTTGATGCAGCAGAGAGAAAACTTGTCCATTGCCTGAAGAAAAAAAGTAACCCTTTTGAATGGATGGCACTGAAAGATTTTAAAGCAAAGACTTTTATAAAAATATCCTTTAAGATTCTGTATATTTAAAAACAAATGCATGTACAAATGTACAATGGCATTTAAATATATCAATGAAGAGAAAGCCTAAGAATTGGAAGGAGAGATCCTAAATTTTGTCAAATTTACTATTATAAATGACCCTAAATAAACCATTTCCTTTTTCAGACCTGTATCCTAGTGTTTAAACTAATGACCCTCATTAATAACAACAAAATTTTTTTGACTGATATTATTTTTCCTCTAAAATTGTCAACATTTTTATAATTGAAAAAAAAATCCTTATACTATCTTAAGGAGGAAAATTTCTATACAGATCTTTAACTCCACTTGATACACTGCAAATGGAATCTTATTTTAAAATATTATCGTCCCCAGAGGTTCTTCCCAGAAATAAGTACTCACCACCTATAATCCTCTGCATTTAGTAGAAAGTATGTGCACACGATGGTCACACAGACGGTCACAATGCACAGGATGACCAGCACCAGCATCATGAAGCCATAGACATAATAGATCTTATACGCCCAGAAAGATGTGAAGATGAAATACCTAAATACAACACAACGAAGACACAGTTTTCTAGTCTTTATTCATGTAGCTCACACTGCTCTTGCTAAATCTCACTTGCATCTTAGTTCTCACTTAAATCTCAATATTTTTCTTTCAAGTAACTTCCAACAGTTTCCCTTACCCCCTTTTCATTAAGTCATTTAAAATTCTCTCAAAAATATTTTCTTAGATAATCTTTCAAGAACAGACTCATTGGTGGGGTAGGGTATCCATCTCTAAGCAAACTAAATAAATTAGAAGCTTAAGGAATATACTGTGGAAAAGAAAAATAAAAATAGCTAAAAATTCTTATTTTTTAAATAAAGTCAATTTCCTTGTTCTTTCTTTTTTTTCTAGATACAACACTTTATAAACAATGTATTTTATATTTTATAAAACACCCTATTAAATTAAAAAAAGGTTTGATATAGTAATAATGTATAAAATTAGGAAAATAAAAATAATTAGGAAAAGAAAGCCTATGGAAGCTTCATGCCATTTTCACAGTACCACAAGAGAAAGGGCATTAAGATTTTATACCAAAAAAAGACCCTTTACTCTAATTCCATTACACAAGCCATAGTTAAACAAAAAGGGTTTTTGTTTTTGTTTTTGTTTTTTTTGCGGTACGCGGGCCTCTCACTGCTGTGGCCTCTCCCGCTGCGGAGCACAGGCTCTGGACGCGCAGGCCCAGCGGCCACGGCTCACAGGCCCAGCCGCTCCGCGGCATGTGGGATCTTCCCGGACCGGGGCACGAGCCCGTGTCCCCTGCATCAGCAGGTGGACTCTCAACCACTGCGCCACCAGGGAAGCCCCAAAAAGGGTTTTTTAGCCTCTTTTCTTTTTCTTGTTCCCTTCTGCTTGTTAGTTACCTTATTCATCACCCATTCTTTCAACAGATATTTACAGAGGCCCTATACATATCAGAGAAGCAGTGAGAACAGAATTGAAGACAAAGTCTCTACTCTGAAGAAGATTAGTTCAGTGGGAACTAGTAAAGGGGCAATCATGACACAACAAGTGCTTCTCCAATGCACCTAACAGGGGCAACTTACTGGTTTGGCTGGGTGGGGCTCTGGGGGTAGGGAAGGGTGGTGAGAAGAATCAGATAAGACATGTTGGGTGGGGAGCTAGAAGAATATTCCATGCATTGGAACAGCAAAGGCAAAGGCTCATAAAGGAATTCACTATTTAGAAAGACTCAAAGTAATTCAGTATGGCTAGAACTTCAAATGAACTGTGAGAGATAAGAGATGAGGCTGGAGAAGAGAACAGGGCCAGATTCTATATTATGAAGGTCTTTATTGACTATGTGATGGGGTTTGGACCTTACCTCAATGAAAATGAGAAGTCTTTAGCAAATAAGTGACATGATCAGACTGATACCTTAAAAAGACCACTGTGGCTATCAAGAGGAGAACAGGTGTGAGGGTGGTCAAAGCGGAGAAGTTAAAGATACAGCAGAGTGGTTACCAAACGGAACAGAGTACCCAAGAAAACAGGAAGAGATGTGATCCACAAGGTAGTATGGACAGGGCAGGAAGGAAAAAATAGTGGCAAGTCAAATCAGGGTGAGGACACAAGTCAGAAAGTACAAAAGAATTTCTCGAACTGGTTTTTATTAAACCATGAGCTAGAGTGACATGCTCTCCAATCCCTCTAAGGTGCCGACTAATACCCACAGCTGGCAGGTGACCCCCAGGAGTGGCCCAAATCTATGTCAGTTGTCCTTATTCGTGTAATTAGACAATTTAAATGTCACATAAAGAAATAAACATGATAGCTAAAAGAATTATGATTTCTATGAAAATTATGTTGAATACTTTGGAAAAATTCAATAAGGTGAGCCACTAAAAAACAAGTGATAAAACCGGGCATGGGTGAGACAACTATAAAAGACTGGGGGACAAATGTACAAATCTAGAAGGATTCTGCACTTAGGATACTTCAGACAGGTCTTTACATTCCTGCCCCAATTTAAAAAGATTGGAAAATACAGAAGATGCAAGATGCATTATGAAAAAGGTAAAAACGATGGAAACGTCAACTAGGTACAAAGGCAAGACCTTGGCTCTATATTTTTTTAAAAAATCAGTGAAAGATGTACCTTTAGTTGTTTTAAGTTAACATAAAATGTTATGTATGTATCTTTTTTTAATAATTCCCTTACATGAGCCAACTTTTTCAATTAACCAACTGTCAGATTCAATCACACCTCTTAAGGAGGCATCCACTGTACAGGAGAGAATCAGCACTGGGGCGTCTGGAAACGTGTAAGGAAATTTTGAGTAGTCACAATGACTGGCATTTCATGGGCAGGATCCAGAGGTGTATGACTGCAGTTCTTGAAAAAGTCCCATACAAAGAACTGTCTCTTCTAAAATGCCAGAGCATTCCCATCAAGGAACATTGGAACACAGGCTGAGAAAAGAAATGCTTATATTTTGCATTGGGGACCAAGGATGCAGATATGAAGCACGGTAACTGGGCACAAGATGGCATATCTCCCACCCCCAAACACATACATAATACCCAGCACTCCTGTGGGCCTTGATGGAAGAAGACTAGGAATGAATGTGTATCCAAAGATGTCAGGATCTTGACTAACTGGCAGGTAATGGTTTACCTAGTTCCCTGGACCCTTAGAAATATTTTAAAAATAAAAATCAGTAATTTCTTATATCATGTAGCTGATCAAAGGCTGGTCTGACATGCATGCATTCTCTAGCATGCATGCTTTGATTTCTAAGATCTCCTGTTTGGTGAGAAAGGTCTAGAACACAATACAAAAACAGTATAAGCTTCACCTGAATATTTGAGAACAAAGCAGAAAACCACTTTTTCTTTTTTTTTTTTTTCGGTACGCGGGCCTCTCCCTGTTGCGGCCTCTCCCATTGCGGAGCACAGGCTCCGGACACGCAGGCTCAGCGGCCATGGCTCACGGGCCCAGCCGCTCCGCGGCATGTGGGATCTTCCCGGACTGGGGCACGAACCTGTGTCCCCTGCATCGGCAGGCGGACTCTCAACCACTGCGCCACGAGGGAAGCCCGGAAACCACCTTTTGATAGACTACATAGACCCCTTTCTAGAAGCATGGACTTAACAAACTAACTCTGTTAGATGCCTGCCCATCTGATGATTCTATACCTATCCTAACTCCTAAATTTTCTTATTACAATGAAATCCCCCAAAACATAAATACATTGCCAAAACTTACATTTCAATAAAGATTGAGCCAAAAGGTAAAATTCCTCCCAGGCAAACAATAACTGCAGGCTCCATGAACCTGGAAAATATTAAAATTAACAGTAAACTTCTAGTATGATTTCCACATTATACTATATAAACCCTGATAATAGAAATCAGATGCTTGCTACTTAAAAACAATGTAAAGGATAGAAACAAACCAGTAAACAGAAAAACAAAAATTCAAAGAGGCACAACACTGAGAGGGGACTTCAAATTAGCCATAGGTTATAGTCAAAATTCTTTTTGGCATTAAAGGCCGAGATAAGAACTTGTGGAACACAAATACTTGCTACTAGCAGAACTCAAGAAAAACTATGAGTATTTGCTCCTGTTCTATACTTTTCAGTAACTTCTAAAAATTTTCGTCATTTACCTTACAGAAAGTCATAGGG